GTTTTGTAGCGCGGTGCGCTAATCACTGCGCCACCACTCCCCCCCCCCCCCCCATTCCCCCCCCCCCCGACCCCAATCGTCACTGCCTCTGTCCACCCAGCAGTTGTTATTTTTGTTATTTTCTTTTAAACTATCTTCGTGACTTTACCGAAACACCCAAAGAATATGATTGGAACCGTTGGGATCGTCGTTCGCGCAACGTTCCACGTTTGTCGGTCACCTGGTTGTCGAGTTGGTTTGGTGGATTCATCGGTACACCTGGTTGGTTGCTCGAACCCGTTGAAGGAGCGCGGACTGCACTGGTCGACTCCACGGTCCAGTTAGTCGATCGGTGGCAAGTCGCGTGTGGTCGTGCGGGTCACTCCCGCCTCTTCCGAGACGAGGTCAAACCCACCATCAACACACCTTCCCCTCTCCACGACTTCCCCACCCATTCGTCATCACACTCGCCCATCGTTCACCGCTCATCGTCGACCGTCATCCTCGTTTAGTTCACGCGTCGTCAAGCAGCATCATACTCGTCACGCACTTCTCACCAACTCATCTCATCGTCACACTATTCTCGCCTTACATATAGTTCACTCTTTGTTCAGCTCACTTGGTCAAGGGGCTATGCGAATTAAATGAAGGTGTGGAAGAATTGGGCCCCCAAAACCACCATCTCTCTCTCGAGATGGGACTTCTCTACAGCTCCCTCTGACGGGAAGCCGTTCCGCCAGCAGTGGCGTGAGCGAGCAATTTGCAGGACTGCGCCTTTACCCTTCGTGACAATGCCATCTATTTGTTGGATTCATTTCAAAGTGGAATTTTAATCCCAATCGAGTGCAGAATTCGATGCAATGTGGTGTGGCGTTTGTGTGTGCAGTCATTGGTGACCGGGCTTAGAAGCCGGTTTTGAATCACTCGCAAGCTGGAGTCGAACCCAGGTTCTCAGGTGTGCTCATCCTGTGTTGGTGTGTTGCAAATTCCACATTCCTATGACAGGAGCATGTCAGGGCCTATATGGCGCATATTGTAGTTTAACGCAACGATGTCCATGTTGGTTTATTGCTGTACTCTACAAGTAGATCGTACATGTGAGGGTGTAAGAGACTTTGGCGAAATGTTAACTCCCTCGCCTGGTATACAAGAGGTCGTGGGGGTCGATCTCAACCCTGGCGCCTGCTGTATATTTGGAGTTTGCGTGTCTCTCTCCTCTTGGTCGTGTGGATTTTATTTGGCTGCGATAAATCGTCTACATGACGAAAAAGCCACTTTTGTTGAGCTATAAATTGTGGTCAGGTCGCTTCCGCAAAAAGAGCTACATAGCTCCAGCGGGCCTTGCCTGGAATTTTTTAAAATTTAAATTCCAGTGTTGTGTGTGGGGAGCGGTAAGGTAGAGCGGGTAGCGGTAATCAAGATTTTAGTGGGTGCGTGGCAGTGAGTGTTTAGTAGTGGGTATTAGTAGCTGTGTAGTAGTGAGTGTGTATTAGTAGCTGTGTAGTAGTGAGTGTGTATTAGTAGCTGTGTAGTAGTGAGTGTGTATTAGTAGCTGTGTAGTAGTGGGTGTATAGTCGTGGAGCGATCGTGGAGCGGTTAGCGTGCTGCGCTACTAACCTGGTGACCCGGGTTCGATTCCCGCTCACGGCCATCAACGTCAATGACGAATATTAAAACCGGTTCTGGGCCACCCCTCCCCTAGGTCGACTCAGCCTCAATTGAGTACCTATTGCGAATGTGTAACAAACATTGCCACTGGGGAGACAAAGGCGGCCGGGGCGTGGTGTTGGCTACACCAACAGTTTGCTAAAAACACAGCAAGTTGGCACAGTCATCTCGGTCGGTCGACCCATGGCACCCGTGACCTCCTCCCAGCGGGCGTTTGACACTTCACGCGTGCACCTAGCCTGGCACGTGCGCAGTGGTGACGCCACCGCCACTTGTTAGCGTTGTGTGCGTGTCACCAGAGTGTGGGCAACAGCTTTAGGAGGCCTTCATCCAGCAATGGTTTGATCGTGGACGACGGGCACCCACTGTTAACGCTCCAGACTTCTCTCCCCTATGCTGCCCCCTCTCTCTCCCTCCCTCTCCGTGAACTCTCTCTCCTCCCCAGACCACACATGACGAGAGAGCCTGTGGCTGTGTTTAACAAAATAATAATAGTACGAAGAAGAAGAATCCCTGAGCGTGGTGAAAAAGGCAAAGCAAAGGGTCCTACTGCGTGTTGTACGGGGAGAGAGACGTGGAGTTATTATAACCGAGGTTTTAATTTCTCACGGAATATTTTCCGGATCTTTGGAACGCCGCGAATAGTATCCACAGCCACAGGATGTATTGGATGTATACTGGATGTGGCGTGCCGGGTGAAGAGACAGACCCCGGCATAGGTCTAAAACGTGCCCCGCCAACATCAACATTGAGTACCTATTGCGGATGTGTAGCAAACATTGCCACTGGGGAGACAAAGGCGGCCGGGGCGTGGTGTTGGCCACACCAACAGTTTGCTAAAGGGCTGTACGGGGGGGGGAGGGGAAGGGTACCTTTGTCTTTGTGAGCGCGTGTGTTGGGGCAAGTGCTGTTAGCGAGTAGCACCCCCTATGAAGGCCGGACCACGGCAACACGAGGGGGTGGGTGGCCAGCACCACGCCCGGCCGCCTTTGTCTCCGCAGTGGCGATGGTTTTACACACCGCACCAGGTACTCATTTGAGGCTGAGTCGACCTAGGGGACGCCTCAAGACCGGTATAGATAATCGCCACTGGTGTTGGCCGTGAACTCCACAACATTACACATACACGCGCGCGCGCGCAAACACGTGGACAGCTACAAAGACACAGACAAAGATCCCCCGTATAGTCAATACAGGCTGTTGGGGCAAGTGCTGTGAGCAAGCGAGCACAACATATGAAGGCCCGAACAACACGCGAGCGGATGGGTGACCAACACCACGCCCGGCCGCCTTTGTTTCCCCCCGTTGTTATGTTTACAACCCCCCGAATCAACAAAAAGGAATAAATTACAAAACCCCGCCATCAATCATCCCCACACTCACTGGACCCTGTAGTAAACCAGTGCAGTCTGCGCTCCTTCGATGGAATATAATGAATTCACCGAGGAATCCATCAACCAACCAGGTAAAACGATTAACCCATCGACCAGGGCAACCCTACAAACTTGGAACGTTGGGCCAACGTTGATCCCCAACGGTTCCAACCACTGGCCCCAGCGTCGCCGTGATTACTGGGCCAGCCTGATACAGACAGCCAACTAAACCAATCGATTGACCAGCTGACCAATTAATCAGCCAGCACATCAACTCAACCAGCCGTCACCAACGAACCAACGCATTTCATAAACACCCCCCACGAAGTCTCGCACACACACACACACATTCTCGTTCCTCGTCGTCTCTCCTCCTCGCTCCCCTGAGTGCGTGAATTGCCCGGACTGTGGGAAAGGGAGCTGGTATCGCTGTGTGCATGGGACTGTGTGTGCGCGTGTGTGCGTGGGACTGTGTGTGCGCGTGTGTGCGTGGGACTGTGTGTGCGCGTGTGTGCGTGGGACTGTGTGTGCGCGTGTGTGCGTGGGACTGTGTGTGCGCGTGTGTGCATGGGACTGTGTGTGCGCGTGTGTGCGTGAGACTGTGTGTGCGCGTGTGTGCGTGGGACTGTGTGTGCGCGTGTGTGCGTGAGACTGTGTGTGCGCGTGTGTGCGTGGGACTGTGTGTAGCGGTTAGTGCGCTGCGCTACGAACCCGGCCACACGGGGTTCGATTCCCGCTCACGGCCAACACCGGTGATGATTATCTGAGCCGGGCCTGGGCATCCCCTAGGTCGACTCAGCCTCAAATGAGTACCTGGTGCGGTGTGTAAACATCGCCGCTGGGGAGACAAAGGCAGCCGGATGTGTTGCTGCACCACCCGCCCCTTTGTGTGCCGTGCCGGCCTTCAAAGGTGCTCGCTAACAGCGCTTGCCCCAAAAGTCTGTAAAGGCTACACGGGGAATCTTTGTCTTTGTCTCTGTTTATATGTTTTACTACACGCGTATGTATCCGTGCGTGTACGCGCGCGTGTGTGTGTGTGCGCGTGTTCGTGTGTGGGAGCGTGTGTCACATTGTGTGCGCGTGTGTGTGTGTGAGCGTGTGTGCATGCATGCATGACATGATTATACATTAAATATGTGAAGGCGAGTGCGCGTCAAAGTGTGTGTGTGTCTGTCTTCGTGTGTGTATGCTCCCGTGTGGGGAGCGGTAGTGTAGCGGTTAGCGCTCCGCTTCGCTACGAACGTGGCGACCCGCGTTCGATTCCCACTCACGGCCAACACCGGTGATGATTATCTGAACCGGGACTGGGCCTCCCCTAGGTCGACTCAGCCTCAAATGAGTACCTGGTGCGATGTGTAGACATCGCCACTAGGGAGACAAAGGCGACCGGGCGTGGTGTTGGTCACCCACCCCCTCGTGTGCCGTGCCGGCCTTTATAGGTGCTCGCTAACAGGACTTGCCCCTACAGTCTAAGGCTATACGGGAATCTGTATCTTTGTCTTTGTGTGTGTTCACGTGTGAGGGGAGCGCTCACGGCCAACGTCGATGACGAATCTCTGCACCTGTGCTGTGGCCTAACCCTAGGTCGACTCAGCCGAGACAATCATTACTTGGTGCGGTTTGTGTAAAACGTCAACGAAGGCCCTACGGGACGCGACGAGGTGTTGGTGGGTGGCCAGCACCACTCCCGACCGCCTTTGTCTCCCCCAATGCCGACCTTTTATGTATGTGTGCGTGCGCGTTTGTTTACACAGCACAGACAGGTAAATAATTTAAGGCTGAGTCGACCTACGCGATATGCGGGGATCAGTTCACACGCGAGTTACCGATGTGGCCATTCAAACACCATAGGTGCTCTCTAACAGCACTTGCCCCAACAGCTATGTGGAGGCTATACGGGGGGAGCTTTGTCTTTGTGGGCTTGTGGAGGGGGGGGGGGGGGGTTTGCGGCGGATTCGCTCCCCTCGATATAAACCCCGCGCGACGCTCTGCGCTCACTCAGTAACTCCAGGGCCCCACGTGTGATCATCCCGCCCCTGCCCGTTCATCCCACACAGCATCTGCAACAAACCAACCATCATCGCCACCACCAACATCATCAACAGCACCATCGCTATCATCATCTACCTTGGCATTAATGGTCGCAGCAGTTTTGGGCGGCGCTCTTATCAATGCCATCATCATCGCCACCAACATCATCATCATCACCAACATCATCACCAACATCATCATCATCACCAACATTATTTGAGAGGTCGCAATAAGCAGCAACAGCATGTTAATATTGCCACATAAATAATCATCAAAAATCGTCGTCGTCATCATCATAATCACAACTTTTGGTTATTATCCGTCGCGAAGTTTCATTATAATCATCATCACCTTCATCGTTATAATTTATCAGTATCAATAACCACGGAGCTCTTCGTCATTACACATTGCAGTACTAGTCATTACATTTCAAAATAACAATCACCATCATCACAGTATGTATTCACATTCGTCACGGATGCCGTCTTAAGCACATCATTTAATATTGATGACGGTTCATCACAATCATCATCATAAGCAGCAACGTGATCCTCCGAATCAATCATCGCCGCCCCACGATGTTCAACCACACCCAGTACCCTTACAACTGCTTTAACTTCGACGACGATGATGGGCTGGAAGACGGCGACGATAAAAGATCGAGACCGCCATACAGGTACGTGCAAGTACACACAGGTACGTACAGGTATGTGCAAGTACACACAGGTACATGCAGACACAACAGCAAAGGTCCCCCGTATAGCCTTCAGCAGAATGTTGGGGCAAACGCTGCTCGCGGAGCAGCTATTGAGTGAGGCCCGATCACCATCAACACAAAAACTCACAAACCGTGCGTGCACACTCGCATGCGCATGCATACATCATACATACACCACACAATACAAAGATCCCCTTATAGCCTCAACAGATTGTTGTGGCAAGTGCCGTTAGCGAGCAGCACCTATGAAGGTCGGCACGGCACACTGAGGGGGTGGGGTTAGCCGGCACTACGCCCGGCCGCCTTTGTCTCCCCCGTGGCAACGTTTGCTCCACACAGCACCGAGTTACTCATTTGAGGCTGAGGCGACCTAGGGGAGAGGCCCAGGTACAGATCCGATGCGGGCCTGCGAGCCGGGATCGGAGCTCGGGTCGCAGGGCTCTTAGCGCTAACCGCTGCACCACCGCTCCCAGTCGCCGCCACTCGGAGGAGTAACGGCGACCCTCGTGCCAGGCTAGGGGCACTTTGAGGTCACGTGATGTGTGGGAAGGCTCATTGGATGAGGGTCACGGGGCAGAGGCAGGTGTCGCTTGATCGCGGTGATGGTGAGAGGATCGTGATGGTGAGGATCGTGATGATGGTGGTGAGAGGATCGTGATGATTTTGAGAGGATCGTGATGGTGGTGAGGATCGTGGTGATGGTGAGAGGATTGTGATGATGGTGAGAGGATCGTGATGATGGTGAGAAGATCGTGATGATGGTGAGGATCGTGATGATGATGGTGGTGAGGATCGTGATGATGGCGAGAGGATCGTGATGATGATGGTGAGATGATCGTGATGATGGGGATGATCGTGATGATGGTGAGAATCGTGATGACGGCGAGGATCGTGATGATGATGGTGAGAGGATCGTGATGATGGTGAGAATCGTGATGATGGGGATGATCGTGATGAATGGTGATTGGTTTTAACATGTTTAGGTGTGGGATTCTGAAGTTTTCACGAATCTGTCCGTGACCCAGCAACCCCTTCTAGATCGCCTCTCGCCCGCCCCTCCGTGTGTGTTCCATAAGATTTCCACAATTATCTTCGTGATCCACCAATCCACTCACCTCTTACACCTTCATAATCACCAGCGAACTAGTAACTAATTGGCACGTTTTTGTTTACGCGACCAACCTTAGCAATTGGCTGTGTCGGGTGGTGGCGGGTTTAACGACACATTTATGTTTACGCGATCTAACTCCAAACATCTCCGTTATGGATAATATTGGTCGCGAAGGCCCTACTACGGACGTGTTAAACTCTTCCACCTCGTGGCTCGCTTGTCTCGACGTCTCTCTCTCTCTCACCGGTCCCAGCTGGACATCTGTGCAAATCAAAAAGCTTTACGGATCATCGGATTTTCTCCAGCATAAATATGTTGATGATTCTGATTCTCTGTGCATCAACCCCTAAACTCTTCCACCTCGTGGCTCGCTTGTCTCGCCGTCTCTCTCTCTCTCTCTCACCGGTTCCAGCTGGACATCTGTGCAAATAAAAAAGCTTTACAGCTCATCGGATTTTCTCCAGCATAAATATTCTGACGATTCCGATTCCCTGTGCACCCCCCTCCCCTCCCAACCAAACGCAGCTACGTGGCTCTGATCGCCATGGCGATCCGGCAGAGCCCAGAGCGTCGCCTCACTCTCGCCGACATCTACGACTTCATTCGCTGCAGCTTCCCCTTCTACCGCTCGGGCACCGCTTGCCGCCAGCAGGCGTGGCAAAACTCTGTGCGGCACAACCTCTCCCTCAACAGCTGCTTCCGCAAGGCGAGTTCGTGCCACGCGCCACGTGCCACGCGCTCCGCAATCCCATCCAGTTGCCGGACGAAGCCGGTGCGGGGCCCGTAGCATATGTTGTTATGAAGGCCCCCCCCCCCCCTAAATTTTAATTAAATAACACAAAACACGTAAATATTAAAACACGTCATTTTATTTAACTTGCATGGTAAAGTCATTGTTTTTTTTTTTGGGGGGGGGGGGGGAGGGGGGCTTTCGGTAAAGCCACGTAGAGAAAACATAATAAAAATAAAATATTAATTCCTGCAGTCACGAAAGCTTTAAGTCAAAGTAATTGTATTTTTTCGTTTGCTATACAGCCAGATAATACGACAAATCGCTAACCTTAAACACCCGGTCGTTCGTAAAAGTTGAAGGCGGTATAGTACTATAGTAATAGAGCAAGTGCAGAATCACTGAACCGGAATTGATAGCTTGAAAGCATTTAGCGCGGGTCCCATCAAAGTGCGGGGCGTGTAGCTACTGCATCTGTAGCTACTTGTGCTACTAAGATCATCCGGCACAAGTAGCTACATATGCAGCTACTTGTGCTACTGGGATCATCCGGCACTGATCCCATCCCATCCCCAACCTACCCCATCAACCCGCGACCGGCCAAACATTGGGCCGCGTTCCTTCCCTCGTTCGCTGGTTTCTCAAATCCACCCGTCCCTGGCGAGGCTGGCTGGACGGCCGACGGCATGCCCATATTGACAGGGCAATTGCCCAAAGATCGCTCGTTACAAACAACAACAACAACATCCCAGACAATCGGCGAAGCGCGCCTGATTCTTTTGTTTGGTTGTTTCCCATCACGACTCTGAGATGCCGTACGCAAACACACTTGGCTCGAAGGCGTTGTAACACGACCGGTCAACGTCTCCTCTCCGGGGATCGCCGCCTCTGCCATCGCCGTTATTCCGTTAAGGAGGAATCGGTTGGCGGACGCTCGAAACGACACACGTGCCAATGTGCGCACTTGTTTTGTGAGATCGTTCGCTCGTTCGCTCGGTCTCGGTGAAGGTCGCGGCAGCAGCAGCGGTCTGCACTCCTCTTTCTCCTAGCGACAGACTCTAGAACTACATTACTACACTACTACTACACTATACATACTATACACGATTACTACAATATACACTACTACTACACTATACACTACTACTACACTATACATACTATACACGATTACTACACTATACACTACTACTACACTACTATACACTATTACCACACTATACACTACTACTACACTATACACTACTTTACATTATACACTACTATACACTATTCCTACACTATACACTACTATACACCACTACTACACTATACATTATACACTACTACTATATACAGCCTCGAGCTCTTTCTGGGGGGATTCCCAGGCGTGTTCATGCCAGCCGAGTGACGTCGTACCACCACTACACTATACACTGCAACACAATACACTACACTATACACTACTATACTATAGACTACTATACTATAGACTACTATACTATACACTACTATACTATACACTACTATACTATACACTACTATACTATACACTACTATACTATACACTACTATACTATACACTACTATACTATACACTACTATACTATACACTACTACACTATACACTATACACTGCACTATACACTACACTATACACTACACTATACACTACTATACACTACACTATACCCTACACTATACACTACAACACTATACACTACACTATACACTACATTATACACTACATTATACACAGTCTCAAGCTCTTCCTGGGGGAATTCCCAGGAGTGTCCAGGCCAGCCGAGTAACGTCGTCCCACCACTACACTATACACTACAACACTATACACTATATACACTACACTATACACTACACTATACACTACAACACTATACACTACATTATACACTGAACTATTCACTATACACTACACTATACACTACAACACTATACATTACATTATACCCTACATTATAGACTACACTATTCACTATACACTATACACTACAACACTATACACTACACTATACACTACATTATACACTACACTATACACTACATTATACACTACAACACTAAACACTACACTATACACTTCAACACTATACACTACACACTACATTATACACTACACTATACACTACATTATACACAGTCTAGTCTCAAGCTCTTCCTGGGGGAATTCCCAGGAGTGTCCAGGCCAGCCGAGCGACGTCATCCCACCACTACACTATACACTACAACACTATACACTACACTATACACTACACTACAACACTTTACACTACACTATACACTAATACACTAAACACTACTACACTATACACTACATTATACCCTACATTATACACTATACACTACACTATACACTACACTATACACTACACTATACACTACACTATACACTACACTATACACAGCCTCGAGCTCTTCCTGGACGAATTCCCAGGAGTGTCCAGGCCAGCCGAGCGACGTCGTCCCACCACTACACTATACACTACTACACTATACACTACACTATACACTACACTATACACTACAACATTATACACTACACTATACACTACACTATACACTACTACACTATACACTACATTATACACTACACTCTACACGACATTATACACAGCCTCAAGCTCTTCCTGGGGGAATTCCCAGGAGTGTCCAGGCCAGCCGAGCGATGTCGTCCCACCACTACACTATACACTACACTATACACTACTACACTATACACTACTACACTATACACTACTACACTATACACTACAACACTATATACTACAACACTATACACTACACTATACACTACATTATACACAGCCTCAAGCTCTTCCTGGGGGAATTCCCAGGAGTGTCCAAGCCAGCCGAGCGACGTCGTCCCACCACTACACTATACACTACTACACTATACACTACACTATACACTACAACATTATACACTACACTATACACTACAACACTATACACTACACTATACACAACTACACTATACACTACAACACTATACACTACACACGACATTATACACAGCCTCAAGCTCTTCCTGGGGGAATTCCCAGGAGTGTCCAGGCCAGCCGAGCGACGTCGTCCCACCACTACACTATACACTACTACACTATACACTACAACATTATACACTACATTATAACACTATACACTACATTATACACTACACTATACACTACAACACTATACACTACAACACTATACACTACAACACTATACACTACTACACTATACACTACAACACTATACACTACACTATACACTACATTATACACTACACTATACACTACATTATACACAGCCTCGAGCTCGTCCTGGGGGAATTCCCAGGAGTGTCCAGGCCAGCCGAGCGACGTCGTCCCACCGCCAGCAGCAGCGTGGTCCTGGGCCGGCCCCGGGGCCTTTGCCCAATGGGACGTCGCTGCTGCTGCTGCTGCCCGGTAGAGTTCCAGGGGGAGTCTACCGGGGGCCATCCTTACCGGGTGCCCGAACAACCAAGATCATTTGGTTGAATTCAACTTTATATATATATATTTTTTAAAATATTTAGTTTATTAGCTTCTCGCTGCCGTGTTTGTCTGTTGGCCGAGTCACCCTTCAAAACGGAGTTGTCATGGCTCAATGGGCAATTTACTCGGATAATAAACTTCTGATTCTGCTTCTGCTCGCAGCACTTGCCCCCAACGTTCCGTGAAGGCTATCCGGGGGACCTTTGTCGTTGTCCTCACAGGTGCCAAGGCCAGGAGGAAGCGGTCAGGGCAAAGGGAATTTTTGGACATTTTCTGCAGGATGTGAAAACATGTTCGAACTATTTGAGAATGGGAACTTTCGTAGGCGGAGGAGGCAGCAGCAGCATCATCAGCAACAGCATAATCAGCAGCAGCAGCATCATCAGCACCAGCATCAGAAGCAGAACAGCAGTAGGATGCTTTGTCGTGGGAACAGCAGTCAGCAACTTCATAAGCAGCATCAGCAGCAACAGGGCAATCATCATCAGCAACATCAGACTCATGATCATCAGCAGAATCATCATCAGCAGAATCATCAGCATCAGCATAGTCATCCGCAGCAGCAACACCAAGATCAACAGACGCAAAGTAATCAGCAGCGGCATATTAATTACCTCCATCAACAGCAGCAGCATCAGCAAAGCTATCATGACCAGCAGCAGCAAGGGCAAAAGGAACAACACAATTATGATCATCATCAGCAGCATGACCAGCAAATCCATCATCAGCAGCAGCAGCAGCAACAGCAAAATCATCACCACCATCACCATCAACATAGCCATCATCATCATCAGCAGCAAGGGACAGGCATCATAAACTCTTCTGCATCGTCCATTGTGTTCGCGGACAAAGACGGTCTCCATTGTGGGTCGTCCATCACCACCATCACCAACAACGACAACGACGAGGACGATATCACCACCACCAGCAGCAGCAGCACAAGCAGTAGCAACAGGAGCACGACGAACGCAACAAGCGCTCGGATCTCGTTCAGCATCGAGTCCATCCTGGCGGAGCGAGGGTTCTCGACGCCGGCGGCCGCCGTCACGTGGAGCGCGCCCGGCTGGTCCGTGCCGGCCCTCTCGTACGGCCACCCAGGGCCCGGCGTGGTCGCCCACCACGACACCGCGTGGTGACCATCAAGCCACGGCGATAATAATGATCATTTACGCCCCCCCCCATCACCCCGCAGCTATCGCCCCCTCCCCCTTGTCAACCACTCTCCCTATCACCTCCTATAATCCCCCCACCTCCCTATCACCACCCTCCCTATCACCTCCTATCACCCGTCCCCTCCTTATCCCCTCCTATCACCCCCCTCCCTATCACCTCCTATAACCCCCCCTATCACCTCCTATCAACCCTCCCCCCTCCCTATCACCTCCTATCAACCCTCCCCCCCCCCATCACCTCCTATCAACCCCTCCCTATCACCTATCAACCCCCCCTATCACCTCCTATCAACCCCCTCCCTATCACCTCCTATCAACCCTCCCCCCCCCTCTATCACCTCCTATCAACCCCCCTCTCTATCACCTCCTATCACCCCCCTCCCCATCACCTCCTATCACCCCCCCATCACCTCCTATCACCTCGGAGCGGAGGGACGGGACGAGCCGACACACCACGCCGAATCACAATGTTGATATTTATTTTTACTGGAGGAGGAATCCGATGAGCTATGAAGCTCTTTTGCACTGATGTCCACTACTAAAGCTACGGGGGCGGCAGCATTGTTTCGCTGTTATATAAATGTCCACATGGTGAGCCACTTCGTTGAGCGATCATTTGTGGGCCAATTCGCATCTGACAAAATAACTAATAGCTGAGTGCGCTTTAGCTGGTAAAATAAAAAAAGTAATAGTTTAGTTTACGTATTTATTTATTTTTAGTGATGTGCTTACATTTCCTATACTTTGCACTCATATCGATTTTTTTATTGTTTTGCTGCTGTAACTTTCTGAGTCGCCTCTACTGGACATTTGTCAAAAAAAAGAGAGCTTCAAAGCCCATCGGATTTTTCCAGGATCGATTAAGAGCCTCATTCTGATTGACAGCATCTATCGGCTCCCTGACCGCAGTGATTATCGCATGTACAGCTTCGGTGATGACATAGATGGGCAACACGAGAAGATGTCTGTTAGACAAGATGGGCAGCGAGAGTCGATAGGATCGCTGTCCCCAACATTACCAGTGGCGGTGGTGGTGGTGCGGTGGTGGTGGTGCGGTAGTGGTGGTAGTGCAGCGGTGGTGGTGCGGTGGTAGTGGTGGTAGTGCAGCGGTGGTGGTGGAGGTGTGGTGGTGGAGGTGCGGTGGTGGAGGTGCGGTGGTGGAGGTGCGGTGGTGGAGGTGCGGTGGTGGAGGTGCGGTGGTGGAGGTGCGGTGGTGGAGGTGCGGTGGTGGAGGTGCGGTGGTGGAGGTGCGGTGGTGGAGCGGTTAGTGCGCTGCGCTCCGAACCCCGGCGAGCCGGGTTTGATTGCCGCTCATGGCCAACACCAGTGACGATTATCCCGAGCCGGTGGTGGGCATCCCCTAGGTCGACTCAGCCTCAATGAGTACCTGGTACGGTGTGTAAACATCGCCACTGGGGAGACAAAGGCGGCCGGCCGTGGAGCTGGTCACACCACCTCCTCGTGTGCCGTGCAGGCCGTCATAGGTGGTTCTCGCTAACAGCACTTGCCCCTACGGTCTGTTAAGGCTATACGGGTGATTTTTGTATCTGTCTTTGTTGCTGAAGCAGTGATACATTCGGCACGTTTGTTTCACGTGACAGATTTATGGACTGGCCGTTGAGGTGACGGAGGGTTGTGCGGCACACATTCTTCGTGAATTTTATTACAATTTGTAAATGTCATCTCAAAAGGAAGAAGAAGAAACCCCGATATTAATAATGATCATAGATAAAATATTAACTTCGGGAATAAACAATTAATGCCAGTGTTAATATCAGCGAAATAACCCGATGTGCCCTGACTTTTGTGCACTGTGTGAGGTCCCCCATATCCACTCGATGGGGCTCATTGGCTTGGCTGAATCTCACCAAAATCCAACAATACAAACTTAATATCGCAAATGCTTCTCCAGGCCGTTTTTGCGTGTCTGTTGTTGTTTTATCCTTGTTTTTTTCTTACTCCAGCCCGCATTTACAAAATCAATCGGCAGTTCCTTAAGCGGTGGATGGTGGTGTCACACCGTACTCCGAGTGGCTGACCAACACGTATATGTATGTACGGTATTTTAAAAGTGCTGCCCGCTACTGCGTGAACGACGGCTCACTTGAATGGATGTTCGGAGGTAGTTCTGTATTGTCAACTTTCGCGGACCGCTCTTTTAACATCTCGCGACGCGACCCAGATAGCACAATCGGAACAAAATTTTGGGAACATTACATTGTTAAACAACGACAAAAACAAGCTCCTACACTGCTAAACACTAATCTAAGCAACGATTTAAAACCTCTTTCGTTAGCGTCGGTACTTGCTACGTGATTACTCGATTTAGCTGGACCTACGGTACTTTCAGCAATAAAGAGAACGTTAAAATAATGCGATCGCTGTGCGTTCATTCGTCGACTGCGCCGAGACACCACACTCCACACGCCTGAACACCCAGCGCACGCGAAGATGACCGGCCCACCCCTTGATAACCTGGGTTCGACTCCAGCTCTGACTCGCCCGGGGGTGGTCGTTCAGCGGACGTCTGAAGTCGACCGAGGCGAGGCACGGGCAACCGGTTCGGAATATTCGTCACCGGCTGAACGCCCCAAAGCGAAACTCGGATTCGGGGTTCCTTGCCGCTGCAGCGGCGTGCAAAACCACTGACGTCACCGTTCCGCAACGAGCAAAGGTGAAGATCCTGTACACACCCCTACACCCCCCACACACCCCTACACCCCCCACACACCCACACACCCCCACACACCCCATACACACCCCCACACACCCCCACACCCCACCACACACCCCACACCCCTGCACACCCCACACCCCTGCACACCCCACACACCCCACACACCCTGCACACCCCACACACCCCACACACCCCTACACCCCCCACACACCCCCCCACCCCACACACACCCCCACACCCCACCCACACCCCCACACCCCACCCACATCCTTACCCCCCCACACAACCCTACACCTCACACACACCACACCCCTACACCCCCCACACACCCACACACCCCCACACACCACACCCCATACACACCCCACACACCCCCACACAACCCCACACACCCCACACACCCTGCACACCCCACACACCCCACACACCCCACACACCACCACACACCCCCCACACCACCACACACCCCACACACCCCACACACCCACACACCACCACACCCTCCACACCACCACACCCTCCACACCACCACACACCCACACACCACCACACACCCCCCACACCACCACACACCCCACACACCCACACACCCCACACACCCACACACCCCGTCGTTTGAGCCAACCGCACGCAGCGAACGCGCGCGCCCGCACGCCTCCTCGCTTCTCTTTGCGATGCCGCGCGCTCGTCAACGGGAACATTCGAGAGGAGGTGTGGGAGGAGAAGGGGGGGGGGAGTCGGAAGGGGGCAAGGAGGAGAACGTGGGGGGGGGGTGGTGGGGAGGGGGGGCACGTAATTGCGTCTCCGTGTGGGGCGGGCGGGCAGGCATCGTGACATTTGAGTGCATGGCGATTATCCAATGTAAATATAAACCGCCCAGGGTGGTTGTGCCAAAGAGAAATAGGTGAACCCCCCCCCTCCCGCTCCCCTGTTTATATTTTTCTCACGGTCCTTTCCCTCCCCCCACCGCTTTCACCCCCCCCACCCCCCCCCCCCCATTCGGTCCGTGATGTAATTTGGCCGGGCAGCCAACCCTGACCGAAGCAAAGCAATGTTGAGAGCCTATCCGCGTTGATTACAGAAGGCGTGGACTTCGACAACAACAGCGAAACTGCACAAACGCGGCGAGGAGGAGGTGAATGGAGGGGAGAGCGGGCCGAGGGTGGCTGTGGATGTGGTGGGGGGGGGGGGGGTAAACACGACGCAGGCCGCACTCCTCTCGCGTTCCAATGATATTAGGGGCGGTAATTTCATGGCCCATAAACGGGTGACATTTAAGCGGCGGCGTAAACGCGGGGGCAATTCCGGAAAGAAAGCCTAGAGCCCTATAGTTTGAATGTAATAATAATAATCGTAGCGGTAATAATAATAAAAAAACAGTCGTAAAACACAAAAAAAACGTCGCTTACCATTGTAGGTGTGGGAACAGTAACGGGGGGTGGTGGGGGGGGGGTTAGTGCGTTTGTGTGTGGTGGAGTTTTCCGATGTGGTGGTGATGTTGGCCCATTGTGGAGTCGGGGGGAGGGGGGGGGTTAAGGAACGTGCCCATTGTTTGCACTGCCATTCCGGGAGATCGAACCGGCCATATCTGCGTTGCAAAGTGCAGTGTGCTAACCATGGCATCACAGCAGCAGCAACCCTCGCTAGTAAAAAAATAGAATCTAAATGATTAAACAGGTTGCTTCAAAAAATTGGTAACACTTCGGAGAATTTTGCAACAACACCACGTGACATGTGCTGCTGCCTCCCGGGCTCTTGAAGAGCACCTGGAGAAGATTCCAGGCAATGCGTTGACGATGATGGCGAACAAGCGGAGACTCTTTTAACTTTTGAAGCTATTAACGCACATCTATTATAATGTTGCCGTGTATTAGTATCTGTTCTTTTTCCATAAAAAACGATAGTCCCATGTAAGTGTTAATGTTTTTTTTGAAGCACCCTGGATTTGCGTAGATCATGCAAATCGCATCTCACAATCGTGGAGTGAGGGGTAAGGAGGGAGGGGGGAGAGAGGGGAGTGGGGAAGATGGGAGGGGGCAGGGAGGGGGAAGGAGGGAGACTTCCACAAAGCCATCATCTCAGTTCAGCTCCTTTTTATTTAACCCAGGCGAGAGGGCTCCCAACGGAGACAACGCAAATGACACACACACACACTGTATAGTTGTGTTGTTTGCTACACGGCGAAACGGACCGAGTGAAAATACGAACTGAACAACAACAAAAAGTAACTCAAAGGTTATTATAAACAAACGCAAAAAAATAAACAAAAACAAAAATCGCGCGCAGCAACGAAAGCAAACGACAACAATAATCCAACAAACGCCAGCAGCAGCTCTCCTTCAAACGTTCTCGATCGCAGAGGTCGCACGCTGGAGTCTCCTTGCGCGTCTTCATCTGCACGCCACTGTCCGCGGCACGTGGGTCTGTCTCTGTGTCCCGTCTCCGTGTCCTGTCCCAGTGTCCCTGTGTGGGTGGTGTAAGCTCTTCGCGTTGAGCGTCTCTTCCCGGCACGTTCTCGATGTCACGCCTGGGTTGCACGCAACAATGTGCTCATCTTGGCAGAATTATCGGGGCTTTCCAGGTTCAACATCGCCCTTGCAGTCCATCATCAGCTGGCCACGATAACAATAACAAAAAAACACACAACTGTCCGTGAAGATCACCACAAGTAGATATTGACGCTGTCTCGTCATTGTTATCATCAATCATGATGATCATCATCATCTTCCTTAACCCTTGCAGTCCATGTGCCATCATCATCAGCTGACCACGACGAGGGGTCATGAGTGAAGCAGGCTGGGAAAACAACTTGACGTCGTCGTTGTCTTCAAATCCATCACCATCATCATCCTCGTCGTCATCATCTTCTTCGCCGACTTGGTAAGTGCCAAACGTTTACCACGAGGAGTTGGCAATCATGGGACGGCGACGCGTAAACGACGACTTCGCTCCAAAAGGCGACGCGAAAATGCGCGCGTGCGGATATCGCTCGAGGCTCCCCACGGAATCGCGCGAACGGCGCGACGAACCCCGTGTCGAGTCTTTAGATTAAACGCGACCCCCACCCCACCCCTCCCCTCCCTCCCTCCCCTCCCCTCCTCCCCCAGATGCCGCCACGACGGCGGTCGCCGCAGCCACCGCAGCCACCGCCGTCACCACCGCCGTGCCAAGAGCAGTTGGCGAGATCGAAACCCTGGCCGCGTTCGCCAACGACGACGATTTGGCAAAGTTTGGCAGAGACGCAGCGGCGGCGGTGGTTGGTGGTGGCGGTGGTGATTGCGGCAGTGGTGGCGGCGGTGGCGGTTTTTGACGGTGCGGTTGTTGGTAAGGCAGGGCCCCTGGCTGTCGATTCCGTACTCGGGCGCTCCGTCTGTGTGGAGTTTGTATGTTCTCCCGCCGGGTTTTGTTTAATTAAAAGTAAACTTTGTTTTTATTTTACCAGGTAAGGTCCACTGAGCTATGAATATAAAACTTGTTTTTTCAGAAGCGACCTGGCTATCACAAATGATATGGACATTGATAGCAGCCATATACTCTAAACGCATGACATTGATTGTAAATGTCGAGGGAAAACCTGGAGGACCCGGAGAAAAATCCACGCGACCACAGGAGAGAGACGCAAACTCCAAATATACAGCAGCAGGCGTCAGGGTCTGGATCGTACCCACCGGCCTCCTGTATACCAGGCGAGGTAGTCAACATCTCACCACTGCGAGATGTTGACTACCTTCCTCCGGGTTGCTCAACTTTCCTCCCGAGTGCTGATGTATATGCCGGCGAAACGTCTCAAAGCAGGACCCCCTCCTGCAAAAAAAAAAGAATCCTCCGCCTCAATGTGGGCTTTTCTTAAGTAAACGGGTGTTGTTTCGATCACCAGCCGAGAACTGTCGAGATGATGGGTTCGATATCTGGGGGATTGTTCCACCCGTGATGTTTCAACCGGGTTCCCCCGATATGCGTCCAGTTTACGGTGTTAGCCCGGGCGACCAATGTCTTACTATGGAGAGAGCCACTGACCCGCACAGAGGACTAATGTGCCCTTTGTCAACGACACCTCCCGTCGATGTAAATATTCACGTGGACCAAGTTGCCATCGAAGAGGGCCTTCCGAAGCGGGAGCTAAGTTCGTGGCATCTGCCCAGTTACCAATGACTGCACCAGCATATAAAAAACACCCGCGCATCGCGGTTATACTTTTTGGCTGTCCGTTTATAATTCGGCTCATTTCGGCTTATGCATTGCGAATTCGTTGGCAGGATTACAACGCAAGCGACGCGGTTTGGACAAAAAAAACCACAACGCGTGTACGATAATATCTGTCCCTCCGTGGCATCAACGAGTAAATGAGACCAATCAGGAGCGAGTGTAGTGGCTGCGACAGTTGACATCGCCTCTTGCGGGCCCACGACGCGCCCGACACAGGGTGGTGCACTGCCCACTGCGACCATTCCTTCGTCTCGCGGCGAGCCGCCGACAATGCAAGCCGACGGTGATGGCCGGCGTGGTTTGGAGCGGCGGTGCCGCCGCGGGTATCGCCCTACTTGGCGATCATCGGCTAAACGCCCGTGCTGGATGTCAACCGGCGCAGTTTGGACGGCCTCTGCACGCGCGCACGCAATGCATTGCAACGCATTGCGTGCGCTGCAATGCATTGCGTTGCAATGCGTTGCAATGCATTGCGTGCACGCACGTTTAACGTCTTTCGCACCGTACGTAGCCACCCGCGCTGATCGGATGGTGCCGGGGGGGGGGGGGTGAAGAACAACGAACGATACACAAAAAATAAAAGGCTCACATCTCGAACACGACGAGCGGACGAACGCAATAAGAGGGCTCGACTCGGGGCCAGAAGCGCGCAAAATGGGACGCTGCGACACCGTTTCAGATTTTTTTTAAAAAACGAGGATTTGCGTTATCGGCTGATTGACTCGGTTGACGTACGATCGTCGTCACGCACGTGGGAGGTTTTTTTATTTTAAATACCATCGCTTCGCAACATTCCGGTGGGAGCGTGCGAGCAGCACGATTCACGTGTATTGGTAGCGCGGCGTGAAGACGTCCGCAGGGGGTCAATGTCGCCGGGGAGAATGGGGACGGGTAAAGAATGTGTCCAAACAAAGACAAAGATCCCCCCGTACGGCCTTGACAGACTGTTGGGGCAAGTGCTGTTAGCGAGCACCTTTGAAGGCCGGCACGGTACACGAGGGGGGCGGGGTGGGTGGCCAGCACCACGCCTGGCCGCCTTTGTCTTGCCAGTGGAGATGTTTGCACACCGCGCCAGGTACTCAATTGTGGCCGAGTCGACCTAGGGGAGGCCCAGGACCGGTTCAGATAATCGTCACTGGTGTTGGCCGTGAGCGGGAATCGAAACCGAGTCGCCGAGTTCGTAGCGCAGCGCGCTAACCGCTACACCACCGCTCCTCCACACACGCACGTACACAAAGACAAAGATTCCCCACGGTATAGCCTCTTCGGAGGGTTGGAGCAAGTACCGTTACCGAGCGCACCTATGAGCTGGGTGGTGTGGCGAGCACCATGTCCGGCCGCCTTTGTCTCCCCAGTGCTGATGTTTACACACAAACACACCGCACCAGGTACTTCCTGTACTCATTTAAGGCTGAGTCGACCCAGGGGGGGGCCCCGGAAGCAGTTCAGATCGGGAAACGGCGGGTTTGTATAATGCAGCGCGCTAACCGCTACGCCACCGTTCCCCCATATACACAAACGTATGCACACACAAATGTACACGCGCGCGCACACACACACACCTGCGCAGGCGTGATGTACGGTCAGAAAGGTTTTGAGAACGGGATATATCGAAAACACGTAGCACCAAAGTATACCCGGCTCGGTTTAACGCCGAAACCTTAAAACACATCAATCACGTGATAATATACCATAACACAGGAATAACGTTAAAACAGCGACTACATTGAAATATACAAGAACAATATTATTAGAACGGTAATGAATGAGTATTGCATGAAAAGGGGGGATACGCGTTGTCTCACGGGGGCTCTCACCGAGGTACAAACACAGCGTTCCCGATTCTCAAAACATCAACCGCTTCACCACGCAACCCACGTGTGTGTGTATACATGTGTGTCATGGAGAGCGGTGGCGCACGTGGTTAGCGCTGCGCTACGCTACGAACCCGGCAGCCCGAGACCGATTCCCGCTCACGGCCGCCAACACCGGTGACGATTATGTGAACCGGTCCTGGGGCTCGCCTAGGTCTGCTCAGCCTCAAATGGTGTAGCGGTGTGGAGTAAAACATCGCCGCTGGGGAGGAGACAAAGGCGGTGAGGCGTGGTGCTGGCAACCCACAACCTCGTGTGCCTGCCTTCGTAGGTGCTACTCGCTAACAGCACTTGCCCCGACGGCATGTGAAGGATATATGGGGGATCTTTATAAGTCATCACTTTGATAAAGACAAAGATCCCCATTTTAGCCTTTAAACAAAAGCCCGTTGAGGGAAAGCGCTGAGAGCGATCACGGTGGACCTATGAGGGGGTGGGTGGCCAGCACCACGCCCGGCCACCTTTGTCTCCCCAGTGCTGATGTTTACACACACCGCACCAGTTAAAGCCGAGTCGACCTAGGTGATGACAAACACACGCGCATGCACATGAACATTTCGAACACTCCAACAACACGAAAAATAATATAATAATTTAAACATTTGGTCAAAATTTGTTTACGTCATTATCCGCGAGTGTTCTGCTCATTGCCGTCAAAGGCCGTCCGTTCGTGGTTGTGTGAAAGATGAGACCCAGACTGATGGAGTTGAGATGCTCCAAGGTCACATTTCACGACATTTCAGCACCATATCACACGATGTCACACCGAACTTCCCCCATCTCACACAATCGCACACCACATCACAATCCTACGCAATCCCACTCAATCCAACGCAATCCCACTCAATCCCACACCATCACAATCCTACGCAATCCCAGTCAATCCCACTCAATCCCACACCTCTCTCCAGGCTGACTCGCCGCATCCCTCGACAAAACCGCGCCGCCCGCAAAATCGCTTCAGCGTCGCACATCGTCGTCTTCCAAAGCAATAACATCGCCATTGACGTCATCATCATCGTCGTCTTCATCGTCATCATTCATATTAATAGTAGCAATACAATACAAATTGTGAAACATTATTAATATATATTGCAATAATACAATTAACGCGGGCAGGAGGTGGGGGGGGGGGGGGGGGGGGGGGGGGGGGGGGGGGGGGGGGGGGGGGGGGGTCTCTGTAGCGGAGGCCACGCCGGTCACCACGGGCCTCATCTCCTCCTGACACCTGCAGGGAGACCGAGACACACACGCAGACACACGCAGACACACACACACGCAGACACACACACACGCAGACGCAGAAGTTCAACGCACACGTACATATCTAAATACGTAAATAAATTATCATGCTGAGCACATAAAATCAATCAATTAATACCTCTCAATGCCACAATTTACCTATCCAGGAAGGCCTCCATCGGTCTCTCCATCTCGCTCTCTCTCTGTGTGTGTCTGGCGTGCGGACATCTGGGTCATCGCCAATCACCACCACCACCACCAGCAGCAGCAGCGTCACCTAACCCAGTGGTTCACAACCATTACCTGGCATGGCAGCCCCCACACCCAAACAGCCACCACCGCTAGGCTACACCAACGCCACAAGACAGAGGGGGAATATCAACGGGTCAACGACTCCAGTCGACGCGGCGATGTATCCGTACACCACCCCCCAACCCCCCACAGTGCCAGACGAAGCTAGTGCGGGGCCTGTAGCATATGTTATTATAAAGGGGCCCAAAATTGAAAAGAAACACGTAAATATTCAAATACATGTTTTTTTACTTGCACAGTAAAGTAATTGTAATGTTTCGTTTGCTATACAGCCAGATAATACGACGAATCGCTAACCTTATACACCCAGTCGTTCATAAAAGTTGAAGGCGGTATAGTACTATAGTAATAGAGCAAGTGCAGAATCACTCGACCGGAATTGATAGCTTGAAAGCATTTAGCGCGGGGCTCTTGAAAATACGGGGCCCGTAGCTACATATGTAGCTACTTTTGCTACGAGGATCATCCGGCACTGCCCCAACACCCATGTCCCCGTGCCCCCCTCCCCACAACCCCCCAGCCCCCCCTACTATCCCCCGACTCCGGACCGCTGCCACCACCGAAAGTTTTAGGTGGCCACCGGCAAATCTCGGAATTCTCTCTCGCTAGAGCAGCACCGCTCGCAGTGCCAGGCGCCAGGCAGTGGCAGCAGCAGCGGCAGCGGTGGCGGCAGCGGTGGCGGCAGCAGCGGCAGCAGCAGCAGCAGGAGCAGCAGCGGCAGCAGCAGTGGTAGCAGCAGGAGCAGCAGCAGGAGCAGCAGCAGTGGCAGCAGCAGCAGTGGCGCCACTTTTTTCAAAAATGAAAAATCTCCCCTGCCGGGCCCTCCAGTTTGGTTGGTGCCACGAAGGGTTTGGGGGGGGGGGGGGTAGAGGCGGTGGTGGGGGGGGGTTTCAGGGACGCGACTCGTTGGCGCGGTGCCACCGACGGTGGATGGCGATGCCGGCGCTCGACGTCGTACCGACATCTCCCGGAGATTGCCACGACAATCATCGTCGTCGTCCACTTACATTCGCCACGCAACCAATCGTAACAAGAAGAGACATTCGTTTGGTCGCATTGGGTAAACGAACGGCAACAAAACACACGGCCACATCTTTGCAAGCGCCGCGCGATGCACGCGGTGAGCACGCCACGCCGTTGCGCATTCGTGAGAATGAACGCGTCACGAAGCGTCGGTCCTTCCAGAGCCACGCGGCGACTCCCAAGGCCTCAGGTTCCCCACCCCGGGAGGACCCCGTGTACATCCCCCACGACGCGGTTATGGGCCATCCATTGAGTAGGTACGCACAAATCTGTCAACAACTTGAGCCCTCCCCCCCCCTCCCTGTACGCACGCGGACTTTTTACACCCCCCCCCCACCCCCCCGAATTCTATAGAACGGACGATATTTAATCCACACAGAAACGATCAAGGATTAATAATATTAACGGACTATCTCATTTGAAGGCCAATGCAGACAAATTATTATTGAGGCTTCACCCTCCCCCCCCGTTTCCTATGCGTACATTGTCAGTAGACCCCCCCCCCCATACGCACGCGTACGCATTTGGGTTAACCCCCCCTCCATGCGTACGTACTAAATAGATGGCCCCATATCCGCCGCTCCGCGTTTGCCAACCCACCCCTTGGGTACCGAATTTCTCTCTGCGCCACGCCGACTCCGCTACGGCCCAGCAGGGGGCGCGAGAGACGTTCACACCGCGCGCTTTGCGAGCAGCGCATGCGCCATGCCCGACGGGGAATCCTCCAAGGCATTTGCTCCGTCCGCAGCCGTGTGCTGCGGTTCTGTCCGCGTGGCGTTCTGCGGTTCTGTCCTCTGCGGTTCTGTCCACGTGGCGTTCTGCGGTTCTGTCCACGTGGCGTTCTGCGCTTCTGTCCGCGTGGCGTTCTGCGGTTCTGTCCACGTGGCGTTCTGCGCTTCTGTCCACGTGGCGTTCTGCGCTTCTGTCCACGTGGCGTTCTGCGCTTCTGTCCACGTGGCGTTCTGCGCTTCTGTCCACGTGGCGTTCTGCGCTTCTGTCCACGTGGCGTTCTGCGCTTCTGTCCACGTGGCGTTCTGCGCTTCTGTCCACGTGGCGTTCTGCGCTTCTGCCTTCTGCGGTTTTGTCCGCTTTGTGTTCTGCGTTTCTGTCCACGTGGCGTTCTGCGGTTCTGCCTTCTGCGGTTCTGTCCACGCGATGTTCTGCGGTTCGGCCTTCTGCGGTTCTGTCCGCAGCACCGTGCTGCGGTTCTGTCCGTGTGGTGTTCTGTGGTTCTGCCTTCTGCGGTTCTGTCCGCAGCAGTGTGCAGCGGTGCTGTCCGCGTGGTGTTCTGCGGTTCTGTCCGAGCGGAGTGCTGCGTTTCTGTCCGAGTGGAGTGCTGCGTTTCTGTCCGAGCGGAGTGCTGCGTGCCAGGGCTGGCTTGGCACCTGTCGCGGTGCCACACACTCACCCTTGGGGCCCATGTGGTCTTGACACAGCTGGCGCCTCCTCTTCTTGCGGCGCGCTGGCACACACTTGCATGCGTCCCTGTCGTAGACTGTGGGCACAGAACGTTTCGGAGATCAGGAAACGCCCAGTAAACATGCAACGTTGGGCCAACGTTATGGCAACTTTGGGACAAGGTTGAGTTAATGCGCACCGCGGTATTCACTGGGGCGGGCTGCTGGATTTCGGGTCCCGAAGCGCCGCAACGAGCACCACCGCCGGGCCGACTGCGTGCAGGTGGGTGGGGTGACTCGCGCCGTGAGCGAGTGAGCAAGCGGACGGGTGAGTGAGTGAACGGATGAGCAGGTGGGCGAGTGAGTGAGCGGGTGAGATGGGCGAGCGAGTGAGCGAACAGACGGGTGAGCGAGCGAGTGAGCAGGCGGGTGAGTGAGCAGTTGAGCGGTCAGGTGAGTGAGTGAGCGCGTGGGCGAGTGAACCAGCGGATGGGTGAGTGAGCGGCCGAGCGAGTAAGCGAGCGAGTGAGTGAGCGAGCGAGCCACTCACCCTCCAGGTCTCCGCACGCCGTCTCGGGCACGCACTCGCAACGGCACTCCAGGTGCTCCTCCATCTTCACGAGCACCTCCTTCATGCGCAGCCTCTTGCGCGTGTACTCGATCTTGGCCACCTGCACGCGGGCCAAGCGCAGAGCACAAGCGGCGGGTTTATTGAGCAGCCACCGGTGGACCGGGCTGAGACCACCAACTCGCTATGCTTGAGAACCCCGTTTAATCACCACTTGGTCTACGTCAGCGTATGCATCTCTGTGTGACTCTAAAGGTATCTGTGTAAGTCTACAGGTTCCCGTGTAAGTCGATGGATCTCTGTGCCAGTCACTGGTGACCGAGCTTAGTCCATCAACTTGGGAGCTCGATTTAAATCGCCTGCAGCGGCCGGAACCCGGATTCGAACCCAGGGTCCCGGCGGTCTCCCGGCTCAGCGTCCCTGACCTCCAAGCCACCCCTCGGCGCCTCCGAATGCCGTGATTTATATTTTATTCTTCCTGTGGCCGGGTGTCGCCGTGGGTCAGTGTGTGCTCACGACGATCAATCAGGAGGTCGTGAAGGGGGTGGTGGGGGGGGGGGGGTGTCACATCTCAGTCGGGGGTAAACTCGGCTCATGATCACCATCAACTCCATCCATGGGGGGTGTGGGGGGGGGAAATCACAGATCTGCGGGGGCACGCTGCCACCCTGGCGGATAAACGTGTGCACCGCAAATGGTCCATCGGCAGGTCGCGCGTGGTGGGGGTAAAGTGTAGGGCAGTACTCCCCACACGTCCTGCTGAGCATGGAAGAAGAGTAGGCCAAACACGCTCGACTCGAGGGGGCTTTCTCTCTCGAGCTTCCTCCAGCGGAGAGGCCCCTTCCGCTGGCAGTAGCGCGAGCAAAGCCACTTGCGGGGCTGCGCCTCGACAATCCGCCCAACAGCGGCCAGGTGAGACCAGATCGATTCTCCACCTCGTCACATCTCCGAAGCTCAGCGGGACCGAGCCTGTCCGCGGAAGTGCTCAATTTCAGCGATAAAGGCGGCCGCGCTCGCGGTACAGAGCGGCGGGGGATGGGGGGGGGGGTCCGGGTCCTGCATCAATCCCCCACGTGACACGCCCTGCGCCCCGACTGAACGACGACAAAACGTAACGAACGAACAAAAAAATGACTGGGCGGATGAAATGGGACCCTTTGGGTGTGACCACGCGGGCGCCCATTGAGGACCCGGGGGGATAAGGAATGAAACAGAGAGTGCTCTGTGCTGCGTGCACGTGCGTGTGACGTCTTCTGGGATGCCGCGTGCGACATCACGTGCGGACAAGCCCGGGCGATGAGTCACGTGTTGCCAAACGAGGCAACACGTGAGGTTGTCAAGAGGTGCGGAGTGCGCAGGCGAGCGAGTAATGTCGGGTGGGCGAGTGAATGATTGAGTGAGCGAGTGGGTTGGGAAGCGAGCGTTGGTCAAGTGAGTAAGAGGGTGCGCGTGTGTGCGAGTGGGTGAATGGATAGGTGAATGAGTGAGCGAGTGGGTGGGTGGGGGGTTGAGTGAGTTGGAGGGTGAGTGGATGGGTGAATGAGTGAGCGAGCGAGCGAGCGGATGAGTTGGTGATTTGAGCGACTGCTGCTTGACCCAGTGAGTGTTCGAGTGAATTGGATCGGGGGTGCAGTGGCTCTCACACTCAGCCTCGTCCATCTCGATGTGTGGGAAATCGCTCGTGCCCAGCCGCGCTCTTTAACGGACCGCTTCGTCACGTGGCGTGACGTGGCGTGACGTGGCGTACGCACGGATGCATTCACACGCTCTTGAAATATTGAGTCTAGTATCGAATTCGAACAAAAAATGGCATCTGCTTGTTACTTTGGTTGCCAACCCCTGGGCCAAAACCCTCCACTCCACCAGGGTGGCAGTGCACCTCCCCCCCCCCCCCCCACACACACCACACACAGATCGGTTCTCATCTGTGACCCCCCCACCCCCCGAGGGATGGTGATGATCATCTTCTTCTTTCGTACGACGGCTGATGTAGATGCAGAGCAACAGCGACAATCTCACTACTCTGGTGGTCAAGCCGGCAGGTGACCGCGTCGAGGAGCAGCGGACACGCGGCCCGACTCGGTTGAGCGAGAAATCGCGACGGGTGTCCCATCGACGCGGCGACCGAACATCGACCATCGATCTCGCCGTCTCCAGAGCAGCAACAGCAGCGCGAGCCGCGGTGGTGGCGACGACGACGACGACCATGAGCCGAGTCGACCCCCGACTGGGATGTGAACCCCCCGTGACCTCCTGATTGATCGTCGCGCGCACACACACTGACCCACGATGACACCCGGGCATAAGAAGAAGAAGAAAATATAAATCACGGCATTCAGAGGCGGCCGGGGTTGGGGGCAGGGCAGTGGGCCGGTGGGGGCAGAGGTCACAGACGCGCACTCCGATTCTCAGATAATTACCACTGCGATCGTGCTGCTTGTTGCTGGCCGCCTGGCGTTTTGGGCCACCGCACAAGCAAAACAGCAACAAGCTAACGCGCGAACTTTCACGGTCGATATTACAATTCATAATTGAAACATTTTGTGAGGGGGGGGGGGGGGGGGGGGGGGGGGTCGGGAGGGGAGGATGCGGGGCATCAAATCGCTGCGCGAAGAGTCACACGCCACCGTGTGTCGTACACCCTCCACCACCCTACAAAATAAACAAAAGTGGTCAAGCGAGATCGCTTCGCATCCTACAAATGGCCTGATGACGACGATGACGACGTTGACGATGACGATCATGACGATGACGACGATGATGATGACAACGATGCCGATGCTGGTGGTTGTCACCACCAATCGAAACGTCCGTACCAGACTCTTTGTTGTTGTTCTTGATAACCCGTTGCGTATCCACGGAGGTCACAAGCGAGAGAGAGAAACATAGAATAATTTACTTGTGCGGTGTGGCCTCAACCAAAAACAATGAGTCTACTTACGAGTCAAACACAAACCTTAAGTGAATTCTCGCAACAACAAAAAACGCGCATTTCGTGCTCAACCCTGAGCCAGTGGTGGAAATTCCACATTCCTATGGCAGGAGTGGGGTTGGGGGGTGGGGGGGGGGTGAGTCTCTCTATAGAACAATCACGAGGGTGGCGTTCACAATGTTTTTGGTACCAACTCCTCAGGAGGGATGACGGGTAGAGTCTCGGCGTGACCGCGGCCAGGATTCGAGCTCTCAAGCGCCCCTATGGCGAAGCCGCTCAACTCGGGCCGCTCAACTCGGGCCGCTCAACTCGGGCCGCTCAACTCGGGCCGCTCAACTCGGGCCGCTCAACTCGGCCCCGCGCGAGGGAACCGAGGCGGGCTGGGCGCCGGCGAGGAGACGCGCGACCCCCTGGACCCATCGTCGTGGCGACTCAACGGCCCTTCGTCCTTGGCCGCATCATCATCATCATCACGATTGTCCGCCGCACAAATCACAAGCCGGCAAAAAGATGCGCGGACGATGCCCTGATGTGCAAGATGGAGGACTTAAAAACGCTCCGGTAGCGGTGCGGCCGTGGTGACCCATCGTCGTGGCGACCCATCGTCGTGGCGACCCATCGTCGTGGTGACCCATCGTCGTCGTGGTGACCCATCGTCGTGGCGACCCATCGTCGTGGTGGTGACCCATCGTCGTGGTGGTGACCCATCGTCGTGGTGACCCATCGTCGTCGTGGTGACCCATCGTCGTGGTGACCCATCGTCGTGGTGACCCATCGTCCAGGTGACCCATCGTCCAGGTGACCCATCGTCGTGGTGACCCATCGTCGTGGTGACCCATCGTCGTCGTGGTGACCCATCGTCGTCGTGGTGACCCATCGTCGTGGTGACCCATCGTCGTCGTGGTGACCCATCGTCGTGGTGACCCATCGTCGTGGTGACCCATCGTCGTGGTGACCCATCGTCGTGGTGACCCATCGTCGTGGCGGCCCATCGTCGTGGTGACCCATCGTCGTGGTGACCCATCGTCGTGGTGACCCATCGCCGTGGTGACCCATCGCCGTGGTGACCCATCCACAACACGACGCAGAACGCCGCAATGCGACCCAATCCCCAGACACGACATCGCGGCGTCGATACGCACCGCTGGTCTCCATGTCGCGCCTGTCGGGGCTTGACCCAACTTACAATGTCAAATTGTAGTCGTTGCTCCGCATCTACGAAAGAATGAAGAAAGATAAGAAGAAGAAGAACGGCCCCTCGCAGCGCTACTACAGCGGAGGCCCACACAGCAGCTGCTGGCTTCAGGACTTTTAACAGAAATGTGGAGGTGGGGAGGGAGGGGGGGTGGGTGTAATAATTAATTAATTACACATGAATTAATTGATTGATATCAAGCGCCCTGCCACACACGCACACGAGCCCAGCACGCGGCTGGCACCCACCCACGATGCATGTCTGTGAGGCGGAGAGGCTTCCGGGCAGAGTGGTGAATCGTCTTTTGTCCCCGCTGTTGGTACGGCAACCGTCAGCATGGCACGACAGATATGCCCCAGCACTCCCAACCCACTCAGCGGGCCTCGCAACCATCCCTCTCACCGCGCTCACAACCACCCACCCACCAACCCAGCCAGCTGCTGATCTAGCCAACGACCCAGCCATCCACCCACCCACCCAGCGACCCACCTCACCCAGCAACTCACCCACCCAGCCTCCCAGCCATCCCTCCCACCCTACTCCCAACCACCCACCCACCAACCCAGCCAGCTGCTGATCTAGCCAACGACCCAGCCATCCACCCACCCAGCCACCTCACCCAGCCACCCAGCGACCCACCTCACCCAGCAACTCACCCACCCAGCCCTCCCACCCTGCTCACAACCACCCACCCACCAACCCAGCCAGCTGCTCATCTCGCCCGACGTAACGCACTACCACTACAGGTCGCCTATCAATAATACTTTTTCTATATTATTGGAACGTAAATTAACGTAATGCAATGAACGGGTAAAATGTAAAAATAAGTCGATATTGATTTGGCCGGGCGTCAAAATGTACCGGAATATTCCGGACTGTACCGGAATGTTCCGGACTGTACCGGAATGTTCCGGACTGTACCGGAATGTTCCGGACTGTACCGGAATGTTCCGGACTGTACCGGACTGTACCGGACTGTTCCGGACTGTACCGGACTGCTCCAGCTGAGATTAAGCAACCGGCAGCACCGCGCAAACTGTAACAAAAACCGACATCTGCGGATGCAATGGATTACCATCATTTGGGAGCCAGGATTAGATTCAGGAATCGGTCTCGTGAGTTTTTGGTCGTCTCGTTTTTTTTTTGGCGTGGGGGGGGGGGGGGGGCCTTCTCGTTGGTATTGTTTCTTGCTTTTCTTGTTTTTATTTTTCCCGTGCTCTTTCCTGGAGTTTTTGAACCACTCTGCCGGCCTACGTATAAATGCAGGATACCGTGTCACGCACGTCGCCTTTTTTGAACGAATCGCTCATGATCGATCTCCACGCCGCCGCCGCCGCCGCGGGTTTGACGCGGCTGTCGTGAGCACATCGCAAGCCACGGGCGTTGCCAACGACCGAGTGTGCAGGCGGTGCAATTGCCACTGGCACCTACGAGAGGGGTTCAGGCGCTGGGCTACGAAGATGGGAGGGCGGGGGTGAGGAGAGATTGGACAGGAGAGGCCCAAATAGTTGTATTTCTTGCACCAGGGCCTATGCCAACCACACTAATCCTAGAGCATCCGTTTTAAAGTTTTAATTGATAAATCAGTTCCTTGCTCATGCACACTCACTCGCTCACGCCCGCTCACAGAAGTGTTCCTGGGCGACCCGGAGGCACGAACATTCCAGGGGACATTCCCGCCGTGACATTCCCGACTCCGCATGAGACCGGCCTACGACGTCCCACCAATCATTCCGTACCCCCTCCCCTACCCTCCCAGTTACCTCTCCTCTCCATGTGTGGTCTCACGCAATTATACTATCACTTTTTAAAAGAATTTAGCACATGTACTTATTGCTTTTCTTGTTTTTATAACTTTAATCGTTCTGATAGCTATAGGCTTAGCACGGCTTGGAATCGTATTATTAAATAATACATATTACAATTACTTATAGGGGAAACACACACTTATTAACGGATTACTAATGTAGCATAATCATAATAACACACATTACAACTAATTACTAATCTACAACTCATTACTAATCATAACCATTGACTGATCACCAATCGATTATATAATTACTGCACCTGAAATGAGTTAAATGATGATGTCACCCTGCTGCTCTATTTAAGACCGTGAGCAAGTGAGGGTTTTACCATTCTGGCGAATTGCCCGATGATGCTGGATGTAATTACCAGCGAAACGTCGTATTCAAACTGTAAATGTTGTGGATTCACTCTTCAACACACCGGTGGGCTAAAGTAGTGAACTAATTGTATTTTGTCAGTGTGACACTTTTTTGCTGATTAGCCGTGTTGGGTGGTGGAGGGTTACGACACATTTATAAATAACGCGATCTAACCCAAAAACCTTTATTATGAACATGTACTTATTTACTATTTTACTCACTTTTTAACCACGTAACCCCCACACTGAGCTGTAAAGCTCTTTTTTCAGAAGCGATCTGGCTATCACAAATCATAGCTCAACGAACTGGCTCATCACGTGGAAATTTATAGCAGCCCAATACTGATTCTAAATGTGGAGGGGAAAACCGGAGGAACCGGAGGACCCTGAGAAAATGCACGCAACCATGGGGAGAACACGCAACTCCAAATACACAGCAGGTGTCAGGGTTGGGATCAAACCCACGACCTCCTGTATACCAGGCGAGGTAGTTAACATCTCGCCACCAGGAGAGCCATAGGGCTCATTTTCAGGCGGCTCCTGCCGCATTGTTATTTTTTTTTACTTTAAGATGTTTGCAGCCAATTAATTACCAGCTGTATATGTGTTATACAAGTGGTGGAGGAAACCGGAGCACTTGGGAAAAAACCCCACGCCTTGCGCGAAGGGGACGGCAGCAGCACGCTATCCCCTTACAGATGGAAACAGATGGCGATCAGTCCACTTCTCTCTACCGCCTTCTCCTGGCGAGCCAGAGTATGGCACTTCCTCGACGCCCGCCACGGGAAGAGAGGGGAGTTTCACAACCGTCTGTGCGATGATCCACGGACCCCTCGCTGCTGCCTCCACAGCAGTGCAAGATTACAGGCAGCCACATGCAGCAGCGTAGCCACCGCCGCCACCACCACCGCCGCCACACGGCAACATGTCGTCCATCGCAGAAATTTCACGCGTTTGCCGGCATCTCGCGATCGGGATTACGATTGGGCGTTGATTTTTGTGGTTCGATCGCTCCGAAAATAAACGCGCGTTTTTCCGAAACCTTTCACCATGATCAGGGGAGGAGGGGGGAAAAAAAGAAAAAAATTGTTTCGGAGTATTCCGAAAGTGTGACGTCACAGGAAGTGACATCACTCGCTTACAGTGACGACACTTCCGCGATTCTTTTCGGGTGTCCTGCCACAGGTGGCGCCCGCGTGGCATCAGGCCGACGACGCGCTTACGCGGTCGCGTCCCGTAACAACGATCCGAAGCGTTGGAGAGGAATCCCGGGAATAAAATACTTCACATCGCGTCGTAAACAAAAATCCACACTCGAAACCCAACTTCCCGGTGGCTTCCGCCTCACGCTCGGCGTCACGTCGCCGCCTTCAAGCTGAGGTCTCCCTCCCTCTCTCTCTCTCTCTCCCTCTCCAACACGACTTTCGAGAAGTAAAATCGCGCGACGACAAAAAAAAAGGGGGTCCCGACGCCGCCACCAACGACGACGACGACGGCGACGACGCTCTTGCAGATTAAATCGGTGGCCCTTGATCGACGTCAGTCGAGGGAAACGCCCGGCCACGGTCCCTCGCCTCCTTTGTCCCCTCTCGTCGAAGCGCGGTTTAAGATTTGATTATTTTTCGTTTAAAAAAAAAAAATTCCCCGCGTAATCTTCCTTTGATTTTGTTGTCGTCGCTGATTTGGAAATCGTGGCACCCACGCGGGTAAGAAAGAGATAGAAGGGGTGGGTGGTGGGTGGTGGAGGGCGACACTCTGGAGGGGATATTTTTGGCTCCCTTTGAAAAGCAAAGGGATTGCAGGGGCTGACCCCCCCGAATGTTTATCTGCCACCACTGTACACGCGATGCTGTGTACGTGACGCCGAGTACGCGACGCGGTGCCAGTCATCTCTCAGTCAGTCAAACCCATGGCACCTCGGGTCTGTGCCGTGACCTCCGCGAGCCTTTGACACGTCACGTGGCCTCAAAACTGCACCTGGCCTGGCACAGGCGCCGTGGTGACGTTGCCGCCACTTCGTGGCGAATGACGGCTGTTGTTGTACGCGTGGAACGGTGCGCACACACGCACACACGCACACACGCGGGGGCATAGAGGAGGGGGGGGCCCACCTTGAGCTGGCGTGTGTGGATGCGCGACGGCGTGCAGCGCCGCGCCGCCGTGTTGCAGCAGCCCGAGCAGCGCGGGAGCTCCACGCAGCCCGGCCACAGCATGAAGTTGGCGGAGGAGGTGTCCAGCAGCGCTCGCGGGATCTCCACGCTCGCGTTGCGCGGCTTGCACGCCGCGATCTGGGCCTCCTCTACGCGCGGGCGGGTGGGTGGGTGGATTTGTGAGTAGGTAGGTCGATGCGAGTGGGTGAGGAGTGGGTGGATGGATGGGTGGGTGAGTGAGTTGGTTGGTGGGTGATTTAATTGGTGGGTGAGTGAGGAGTGAGTGAGTGGGCGAGTGGATTGGTGAGCGAGTCGGCGAGTAGGTGAGTGGGTGCGTGAGTGAGTGATTTGAGTGTGCGAGTGCACAGGTGACAAAAAACCGACCAAAATCAGCGCTTATAGATGCACACGTTGGGCTTATGATGTTGAATGTCGGGACCAGGTCTTTTTAGCAACAACCCTACGAGAGCTCAGGGTCGTGGTGCTGGTAGCACACCACGTGCAAACCACGACGAAAACCGCTCCCCGCACACAAAGATGCACAGATACCCCCGTTTAGCCTCAACACACTGCTGGGGCAAGTGCTGTTAGCGAGCAGCACCTATGAAGGCCGGCACGGTACATGGAAGGGTGGGTGGCTAACACCATGCCCGGCCGCCTTTGTCTCCCCAGTACTGACATTCGTGTAAACGCACGCACGCACACGAGCACGTGGCGTGTGCGTCACGGGTGCACCCTTTGCTCGTCAATGCAAATCCTTGTCCTCATCCATACAGAGGTGAGTGCGTGCGAGCAGGTACAGGTGCGCGTGTGTGTGCGTGTGTGCGCGAGCATCTCACCTGGGCTGTCCCTGCTCCGTGTGTGCGATACGCTCCTCGGTCGCAGGATGCTCTCCGACGAGTAGTACTCTGGGTAGAATGTCGTCAACAAGGCAAGAGTTAATTTGCATAGCAGGAGGAACAATCGATAGTTCAACATGGCGTCAAGACGAAGGTGTGTTGCCACTAACCCCCCCACCTCCCTCCTCCCCCGTATAGCCACATAAGACTGGACATCTGTGAACAAGAGCTTCATGGCTCATCGGATTCCTCCAGTATGAGTACAATATTCTCATTCTGAAGGCTGTCAAGGGGAGGGCAGTTCGTGAGCACCTATTAAGGTCAGGGACAGCAAGCATGGGTGTTGTGCAGTGGCCAGCAGTCATCATTTACGGCCAAACCAACCCAGGGGAGGGCCCACGTCCAGGTCAAGGTGCGGACGCAATTTTTTTACCGATGCGCGTCATGGAGTTGGACAGCGTGATGAAGTGCGGTCGTGCATACCTCACCACGCCGGTGGACAGCATGACAACACGACGTTAGACACACACACACACGCAATGATGATCCACAGCAGTATTGGCCAGTCAGCAGCCAAAGTCAAGGCAGAGTGATCTCCTGCTCAAATGAGCATTGAGGCAATGGTACTCTGATCTAATTACTTACAGCACTGAGCCCCTGGTGGAAAATTCCACAGTCATATGACGGTGGCAAGTCCATCCACAAAATAACTCATGTTTATACCCCCCCCGCCCCCCCCCCCACACACACACAAAGTATTTATTTTATCGACCCATGAAGGATGATGGGCTGAGTCAACCCCCCAACCAGGAGTTGAACTCCTGACCTTCCGATTGCGAGCCGCTTGCTCGACCGCCGAGCCACCTGGCCGGTTTAAGACACTTGCAGCAGCATTTGTACCAAGCTAGGTGCACTTTGAGGCCATAAGGCTTGGCAAAGAATCACGAGCAGGAGGCCACAAGGGGTGAGGCACGCGCGGACGTACAAAGACAAAGACACACACGACTTCAACAAAGACCCCCCCCCCCCGTATAACTTTAACAGACTGTTGGGGCAAGTGCTGTTAGCGAGCACCTATGAAGGCCGGCACGGCACAAGAGCTGGTGAGTGACCACCACCATGCCCGGCCACCTTTGTCTCCCCAGTGGCGATGTTCACACACCGCACCAGGTTCCCGTTTGAGGCTGAATCGACCTCGGGAGAGGCCCAGGACTGGTTCAGATAATCGCCACCGTGAGTGGGAATCGAACTCGGGTCGCCGGGTTCGTAGCGCAGCGCGCTAACACCTGCACCGCCGTGCCCCTCAACACACACGCACACACACACACACACACGACTCCACACAAACACACACGGGCACACAGACACAAACTTCGCAGTTATTCTGTTCATAAAACCATTTTATGGTTCCTGGACAGAGAGTCCCAGGTTTTTACTGCCGGTGTGGCAACACTGGGTCACTGCGATGGTCCACATCAGCCTTGACCACTACAAACACGGGTCAGAGGTCACACGCCGTGTATCTAAATGTGGGTGATGGATTAAATAATTAAACAACGCACGTCAAATTCTCATCGTCTGTCCCTCCGCATTAAAAAATAAAAGTCAACAAAAGGGCACACGTGCTTTCTTTTTTTTTGGACGCATCCCATCAGCCGCACGGCTTTTTCCCGGAGCGAGTCATTTCAGTGGCGTCGGCTCAACGCAAACAAACCTCCGCAGCAATCTCGCATATTTCTCAGTTTCGCGTCAGCAGCCAGGGCTTGCTTAAGACAAACAGCTCGGCGCGGACACGCGCGGTGCACAGTGAGACACAGAGAGCCAAGGGAGAGACAAGGGCGCGCAGCAAGAAGCCAGACGGATAATGACGGGGGGGGGGGGGGGGGGGGGCTCTGGAATAGGTGTACTAGTCTGCGCGTCTTAAACACACACGCGACAGGCACAATCCCGTGCCCGGGCCCGTCTCTGCGTGGCTGCTGTGTTCTCACGACAAGGGGGTCAAATGAACCACTTTATCAGGAGCGGTTCGCGGCTGTGCTCAATAGGGCAACTGACCGAGCCCGGGGGGGGGGGGGGGGGGGAGGGGGGGCAGTGACCACGCCAAGTGCCCTGCCGATGTCTGCCCGGCCAGGACTCGTCGCTTTGACCATCCGCCTACGGGCGCCCCCCGCCCCCGCCCCCGACCCCCACATCGCCCCGCATCTCCGTGGTGGAGCGGCGTCGAGCGTCGATCGTGCGGCGTAGCGGGGGGCGACCTCTGCAGAGGAGGTTCCAGAGGCGGAGGGGGAGGGGGGTGCAGTGCCGGATGATCCTACACGTGTAGCAGTAGCTACTACTACACGTGTAGCAGTAGCTACTACTACACGTGTAGCAGTAGCTACTACTACACGTGTAGCAGTAGCTACTACTACACGTGTAGCAGTAGCTACTATTACACGTGTAGCAGTAGCTACTACTACACGTGTAGCAGTAGCTACTATTACACGTGTAGCAGTAGCTACTACTACACGTGTAGCAGTAGCTACTACTACACGTGTAGCAGTAGCTACTACTACACGTGTAGCAGTAGCTACTACACGTGTAGTAGTAGCTACGGGCCCGCACTTTCAAAGGCCCCACGCTAAATGCTTTCAAGCTATCAATTCCGGTTCAGCGATTCTGCACTTGCTCTATTACTATAGTACTACACTGCCTTCAACTTTTATGAACGACCGGGTGTTTAAGGTTAGCGATTTGTCGTATTATCTTGCTGTATAGCAAATAAACAAAATACAATTACTTTACTGTGCAAGTAAAAAGTGTGCGTGTTTTAATATTTGTTTAGGGCCCCTTTATAACATATGCTACAGGCCCCGCACTAGCTTCATGCGACACTGGGGGGGTGTGGGTGCTCCCCCCCCCACCCGCCATCCCTCCCCTCCCCCGCCCCCTTGAGATCCCGATGATCCCGATAACATTTCAGGAGCGCCCCCACCTCTACGCCCCCCCCCCCACCCCCTCCTTGGCAAGTTTTGAGTTCAGTGCAGCAGAGTCGATCGCTCCACGGTGCGGTCCTGGTCAAACGTGGACCTTCCCACCAGACGAGACAAAGATGCCCCGTGTAGCCTCAACAGACTGCTGTGGCAAGTGCTGCTAGCGAGTGGCGCCTCTGAAGGCCGAAACGTCACACGAGGTGGGGGGGGGGGCCCGAGTCGACCTAGGGGAGGACCAGCACCGCTTGAGATTAATCGTCAGTGGGTGTTGGTGGCCGCGAGCGGGAATCGAACTCGGGTCGCCGGGTTCGTAGCGCGGCGCGCTAACCGCTGCGCCACCGCTCCGCACGCACGCACAGACACACACACACGGTTTTTTTCAGAGCATAGCACCCCCCCCCCCCCCCCCCCCCCCGGAACGGAATGCGGCGATGTCGTTGGCAGCTATGCGTGAAAGCGACGCGAAAATTTCCATTAAAGAATAAAATAAAGAATCGGGGAGCGAGTGCAAGCGAAGCGTTACATAACGGGTGAAGTGTCCCGCGCTGCCACGACCGATCGTCGTGTAACGTAACCAACCCCGCGCCCCACCACCTCGGGGGCCCAGGGCTGACATCCGACCCCCCAACGCAAACATTAATCTCCCCGTCGTCCCAGCCGAAGATGGGATCACTCCGAGTCGAACCTCGGGCCCAGTGACATCACAGGGAGGGGAGAGAGGGGGGGGGGGCCTCTTGCCTGCAAAGCATTCGGGGCAGCTTCATCAGCGCTCGGTTCGAACCAGATTTGGCCCCTGCTGATGAGACGCTACGCGCCGAAACCGCCCCAGTACCATCGTTAAACATGCTCACTCGCACGGGGGGGGGGGGTGGCTTTACCGTGCGGCTGATGGGATGTGTAAAATCCTACTTTCATTACTCCATTTATTTTTTTGTTATTTTTTTAAGCGGTAGATTTAGCAATTTGTCGACAATTACGAAACGTCCCGGCTAAACAACGCCCTCCCCTCCTGTACAACGCTCTCACGACTCCGTGAGGCTGTGGGCGTTATCGTTGTTATTATTAATGCACGTGGACCTTCACCGCTGGCTCAAGGCCACGGATATGAAGATGATGATGATGGTGGTGGTGGTGGCGGTGTTGAATATTCTAGGCATCTCTGTGCGCCTGCCCGGAAAGCGGCCGAGTCGGTCGGTGGAAGGCGGTCATAATCCATACATTCCAAAACTACCGCCCCGTTTTGTTTCAGTTCCAAAGGTCGTATTTGTTAAGTATGTACTGTAGCTTACAAAGACAAAGATCCCTCCCCCCCTCCCACCTCCACCGTATAGCCTTCGCAGTCTGTTGGGGCAAGTGCTGTTAACGAGGGCCTGTGAAGGCCTGGCACGGCACACGAGGGGATTGGTTCGCCCCAACAGTCTGTCACGGCTATAACAGGGGGGGATCTTTTACTTCGATGTGGCCCGGGTGATGCCGGGTTCCTAAACCACGAGACGGATTCTCGGGAGAGTCCGGCTTTTGAATCCCGGTTCCTGGCGGCGACGAGGTCCGCGCGGCAGCGCGCCGTTGCAGAGGTTCGCGGGGTTCGAAACCCAGCGGCCGCCCCGGTTAATACCCTTCCACGGTGTCTTGACCAGCGTGGAGGAGGAGGAGGAGGCCGGAAGTGGACGAGTAGGCCAAAACAGTAGAATGTGGGATGGGCAGAGGGGGGGGGAGGGGTACACCCCACCCCTTCCAAGATGTCTGGCCAGTGTGGAAGAGTAGGCCAAACGCCTTCGACTAGAGCAGGGAATCTCTCTCCCTCTCCCTCTCTCGAGCTTCCTCCTCCTCTAAGTGGGCATCCCTTTCTGGCAGCAGTGGGGCGAGCCAAGCGACCGCAGGGCTGCGCCCTTGAGCCACCGCCATCGGGTTAACTTGCCGCCTGTGATGTCACGGAACCGTGCGAGCCACCCCGTAGGGGAGCGGCGGTGGGGCGGTCAGCGCTACGCCGCGTCACCAAGCCGGCAAACTCGCGAGTTCGATTCCCGCTCGCGGCCGACAAAACGGTGACGAATTATCTCCGAGCCGGTCTTGGGCCTCCTCCCCTAGGTCGACTCG